ATATATATATAGACACTACTGTCAAAACTTTACAAAGAAGCTATGCTCACCAAGGCTGCGTTTATTGATCAAACACACTAAAAACAATAACACTGATTTTTTTTTTTTAAATAACTGTTTTCTATTTGAATATATTTTAAAATGTAATTTATTCCTGTGATGCAATGCTGAATTTGCAGCCATTTCTTCAGTCTTCGTATTATAATCAATTTTGAAAACAGTTTTGCTGCTTAATATTTTTGTGGAAACCATGATTTTTTTTTTTTTTTTAGTTTCTTTGATGAATAGAAAGTTCAAAAGAACAGCAATTATATGAAACGGAAGTCTTTTTGTAACATTATAATGACTTTACTGACACATGATCAATTTAATGCACCCTTGCTAAATAAAATTGAAAAAGTGTTAATTTTGTCATTTATTCTCCTGGGTCATTCCAACTTAATATTTTCTTTTGTGAAACATGATCTAAATGTTAACAGTTTTACATAACAAATAGAACAGATCAGTTTAGTTTCTTAATGCACTAAATGTTGTGCATATAACAGGAAGTGACATACTGTTGGGTTTGGGGTGCATCAAAGGTAAACGGATCTGTGCAGGTGTGGGATTATGCTGTCCACCTCCGACTCCTGGCACCGCTTTAAGAGAGAGGAACGCCTCTCCTTCGAAGTCATCACTCCTCAAAGTGTCATGGTCCAGCACTGTCACCAGCAGACATGCTCCGGGAGACGTGCACTGCTCTAATGTAATGATACTGTGCCCCCCAGAGGACAGAAACCGCATTACAACCATAAAACAACAACAATCTAAAACCAGCCATCTCTAATCAGATTAACAGTTTGTATTTGCTCTCTCTCTCTCTCTCTGTGTCTTTCTTTCTCTGTCACCCTCTGCTAGTGCTGTTTGGGATGTACAACATGCTAATAGGCTACCTGATGTGGATTGGGCTAATAAAAGAACACAGGTGAGGTGATACAGGTTACTGAAAGGCTTTAAAAACCCTCAATTCGAGCTTTCCTCAAAAAGAGAGCTGGGAAATGGAAGTTTGTGTGTGGCATGTAGTAATAAAGGAATTAGTGTGATTACTTGAGTGTGTGGTTTGTAAATAGGAGAAAAATAAGACTTTATTTAAGAATAAGAGGGAGACTGACTTTTCTATGGAAGCTTATTTCTGCCACAGAATTAAAATATCAAAATGGTAATTGCAACTTTTTATCTCACAATCCTGATTCCACCCCCCCCTTCCAATTGCAATTTTTTTTATTTAAAAAAAATATTTTTTTCCCTTTAAATTGTGAGTTTATATATTGCAATTCTCACTTTTTTTTTTTCAGAATTCTGACTTTACATCTTGCAATTCTATTTTAGTTTTTTTTGTTTATGCCATGGAATAAAAACATATAAAAAAGGTAATTGCGACTTATCTGACCATTTTGACTTTTTCCCACAATTGCAAGTTTGTATCTCACAATTCTCACTTTTTTTCTAAGAATTGCTAATTTATATTTCACAATTGCAAGTTAACATCTCGCAATTTTGACTTTTTTTCCTCAGAATTGCAAGAAAATACAGAATTGAGATAAAGTTGCAATTACC